GATCCTAGTCTATCAGGTCTCATCAGGAGTGGCTGCATTGTCTTCTTCTGTGGCCTGGTAAGGCTGCTCCCCCCTCAGGGGGAGGTGATCAAAGAGCAGGTCAATCAGTTTATGTCAGAGGCAGTCGCTCTTCCCATTACTATGTAACCCACTTGGACACTGAACTGCCATAGGCTACATCTGTGCAGGGGTCCTAGGTTATCTCCATTAATGAAATGAATATCAATTATATCCTAAGGTTTTGTCAAACGTTAAGTAGTGTTAACATCTATTAACACGATGAGAAATTTAATTCAAAGGCTACCACATTTAGAAAGCTATTTCAAATATTAACGAGTAGTCTTCTCTTGATTTCAATTTTAAAAAATTGTTAACAGAGAAGCGGCTTATATCCTAGATATTTTTGACTTGTAGAGGCTGGGACTCTAATAATAAGGAAAGAGTCACACAATGTAGCAGCTTTGGCAAACTGCCTCAGTCCCCATGAAGCCACTCAGTAGACAAAGGGAAAGTGAAATGCAATGCTTAAAAAGATGAGTTTGGGGGGTTTGATAGTTTCGATTTAAAGTTCCTGATCCCATATCTTTGTACTCTAGTTTTCTCAGTGGCAAAGTGAGGGGTATAATTTATATGGTTATTTTGGATGTTAAAATGAAACTATAAATAAACACATTACCTTGGGTGATTATATAATGGCAATTATTTTTCTTTATAAGAATGAATAAAATAGACTTCAGTCCATGGTTCTGAAAAAAAAAAAAAAGAAAGAAAGAAAGAAAAGAAAGAAAATGCCTTACAGTTGGATCTTCTGGAAGCATTTTCTCAGTTGAGGCCCCGTCCTTCAGATAACTCTAGCTTGTGCCAAGTTGGCACAAAACTAGCCAGAATATTCTCCAGGCAGCCTTTTATCTTTTGGTTGCAAATAGTAAGAAATAAAATTGTAATCAGGCATGATGGCGCACACCTTTAATCTCAGCGCTTGGGAGGCAGAGGCAGGTAGATCTCTGAGTTCAAGGCCAGCCTGGTCTATAGAGTGAGTTCCAGGACAGCCAGAACTACAAAGAAAAGCCCTATCTTTAAAAGAGCAAGTAAACAAGTGAGAGAGAGAGAGAGAGAGAGAGAGAGAGAGAGAGAGAGAGAGGTTTGTGGCTGCAGTCGATAGTATCAGAAAGGATAGAAGTCACTGGGAAGAGGCCAAAAGAAGTCACCCAAGACATGTGCCTGTCAGAGGCACACTTACTACTTAAAATGCAGTGTACCCGGACAGTCCTGGCTAGCTCCTCATGGAGTGGGAAGCAGAAGAAAGGGATGAAATAGGAAAGCAAATTATTAGGCTGGAGCGATGGCTCAGTGGTTAAGAGAACATGCTGTTCTTGCAAAGGATCTGAGTTTGGCTCCCAGCACACACAAGGTGGCTCAGAACTGCCCGAAACCCCAGCTCCAAGGGATCTGAGGTTCTCTTACTGTCTGTGGAGGAGCCTTGCTCTTGTCTGCAGCCCCTTACCGCCACCACCCCTTTGTTTTCAGCATTGGTTCTAGTACCCAGTGCTTACACCTGACAGGCAAGCACTCAGCCATAGAGCTGTCCCTTCAGACCCTGAATTTTTACATATGTGTGTGTATGAGTATGAAAATTATATACATATATATATATAAACTTTTCATTGATTCTTTGTGAGTTTCACATCATGCACCCCAATCCCACTCATTTCTCTATCCCTTCATATCTACGCTCCACTTTTGCAACCTCCCCCACAAAAGAAAATTTAAAAAAAATAATAAAGCAAAGCAAAACATGAAAAGGATCTCATCGTGGAAGCTGTGGTGTATCACCCAGTGTACTCTTCTGTCCACAATTCTTTACTTGTAAATGTTCATTGCAATGAGTCATTGGTTTGGTTTGAGGCCTCTGGCTTCTGCTACCCCATCAATACTGGACTCTGACAGGGACCCCTCTCTGACATCCTGTTGTCGCCCTGTGTCATGGAGATCCTGCAGCTTTGGATCTGCAGGACCAGCCCTTTCACACCCTCCAGCAGTTCACAGATGAGGTAGATGTTGGGGTGGGCTGACTCAAAGTCCCGGATCTGGGCCTGGGTGGTGCTGAGTTGGTCAGCCTGCCAGGTCTCCCATACTCACAACCCCAGGGCAAGCTCTCCAGCACTGCCCCAGCTGAGTCACCCAGTACTGTAGCTGGCCAGGGCCAGGGCCAGCTCTCCTTCCTGCTGCAGGTGGCAAGGAGCAAGGTCAGGGTGGTAGGGAGGGCGTCTTTCCAGCACCCACACCACCTCACAGCAGATGAGCGGTAGGACCAGCTCTCCCAAAGCTCAGTCCACCAGGGCTGCCTCCACTGTGCTGCCTAGGCAAGGTGCAGGGCCCGCTCTGGAGTGCTGCAGCTGGTGATGGACATGCTGCAGGTGGTGAGAGGCGAGGGGAGGGAGGGTATGTCCCTTACCTACGCCACCACATGACAGGCCTCTTGCCATCATGCCCTCAGGCCAGCTCACCCTCGTCTTTGCCACCAGGGTCAGCTCTACTGTACTACGCAGGCGAGGTACAGGACCCATTCACCTGAGTGCTGCAGCCGCCAGAGGCAGGGCCAGCTGTCCCACACTGCCCAGGCGAGGCGCAGGGCCAGCTCTGCAAGCCCTGGGACATCAGCATGGTCCCAGGCAGCAGCCCAGGCCAGGGTGTGCCTGGCCTCAGTGGTAACACGAATCACGGACATTGATCCCTGCTGCTGCATGGCTGTGGGCCCAGGAATGGCCCTCAGTGGCAGCCCAGGCAGGGACTTTACCATGGCCTCAGGAAGCAGGGCTGGCTATTCGCATCAGGCTCTTCCTCTCCACCGTCATGTCCCCAGTCTGCCTCTCTTTGTAGCACTCAAACCGTCTCGCCACCACCTCCTTGAGCACTGCAGTGGGTCCTGCTGCTGGCAAGCCTCTGGTTGTCTCCCCAGCCTGCGGTGCATGCTGTGGTGGCAGGTGGGCCTCGTCCCTGCGTTTCTTAGAACAATGAAATAATTTGGTTTGGGGGAAATTCCCAAAGACACTTCCATCTCGGTATTTGGTATTGTGTGAAGTTAGTTTTCCCAAGATCATCCGTTCAGTTCTCATGTGGCCCCGTGGGAAAGAAGTCTTGGGCTTATCATGTACAGCCTAGAGCTCAGAGGACTCCGCCTTCCCTGAAACCCTGTGGTCCAGATCCTCCCTGGCCTTTCCAGTTCGAAGGATCCAGTGGCTGTGGGAAAAAAAGGAGGTTCATGGCTGTGACAGGCAGGTAGCCACTCTAGGGAAAACATGATGTATCATGTTGTATTGGAAAAACCCGGTTATGACCAGATCCAGTAAGCTGGGCTTTAGACAGGCACGACCTGAACGTGCTGGCTGTGAGCGAACATAGATTTATATTGTCTCAAAAGCAGGTTTTAAACTCAGAGTGTGACTGGCCTGTCTGTTTCTTTTAGATATGAATTGTATTTTACCTAAAAAAAATCCCCTTTTGAAAACAACCAGATTGTTTCTCATTACAATAGTTAGCACACATTGAGCACCTACTGTGTACCAGGCTCTGTAATAAAGGGATAAAGATATAAAGAGTCAGAGGTAGGGGAATACAGTGTGAAGGTGGGCAGGCGAGAAGACAAGAAAGCACATGTCAGTTACTTTCCTTGCTGCTGTCGCAGTAAGGATGGGACAAAAGCAACATGGGGAGGGAAGGTTTTGTTCTTGCCCATCGCTGGGTCTGTAGTTAATCACCGAGAGAGACTGTGAGGCAGCCGGTGGCATGGTGTCCCTCTCAGGAAGCAGGGAGAGGTGCTGGCTCTCAGCTCTCCTTCCATGCACTTTGGGAGCATAAGGATGATACACCCCTGAAGGTTTTTTGTTTGCTTCATTTGGATGCAGGACTTCGCGTGGCCCAAGCCCCCTATGAACTCACTACGTGAGCTTCCTGGTTCGTTTCCTATTGCTGTAATAAAGACTGTGATCAAAAGCAGCTTGAGAAGGGGGCAATTTATCTCCCAGCTTCCACTCCGTCTTGAAGGCAAGTTAAGACAGGAACTTGAGGCAGAATCCTGGAGGCAGGACCCGAAGCAGAGACTTGGAGAAACGCTGCTTGCTGGCTTGCTCTCCGGGCTCACATTTAGCTACTTTTCTTATATCTCCAGGACCACCTTCCCCGAGGTGCCCGAGGAGTGCTGAGTCCTCCCTCATCAATCATTAGTCAGAAAAAAAGCCCACTGACCTGTCTACAGGACAGTCTGATGCAGGCATTTTCTCAGCTGAGGTTCCTTCTTCCCAGGTGATTCTGGCCAGCATACTCTGTAATCCTGGAGGTGACCTTGGCGTGTACCACTGTCCTATTCATGCCATGCTGGGGATCAAACCCAGGGCCCCATGCTTGCTAGGCAAAATTCTATCAAATGATCACACTCCTAGTCCTGTCCCCAGGCCCCATGTAGCTTTCAGGTTATAAGACAAAACATAGCAAAGCTTAAAAATCACATGCTCTCGAAAATTGCCAATTCATAGAATATAACTACAACAACAAAAAGGATGGGGTGTGTAAAAGGAGGCTCGTGTTTGCAATGGTGAGACCTTTAAAAAGTCCTTTACAATTTTCTGCGAGCGTCAGATCTCCACCACACACCAACAGATGAAGACACAGTGCCTCCCCTAGACTGTCAGATGGTCAGGTGGTTTTCTTATCAGCTGTAAGGGGTATGTGAGGACAGGCAGAGCCACACACCGGTGAACTGGCTGCCAGGCTGGACGAAGGGCCAACTGGAAAGGCAGCTCAAAGGCATAAGTCTCCTTTTGGGGGTAATGAAAACGTTCTGAAACTTGATTATGGCAGTTATACAACCTTATGAGTACACCAACCCCACTTTGTTCTGAGCAGTTGACCTCCACAGACGACAAAGCCGCCGTCGGGTGAGGGCCGAGTCTGCCGAAGTGAGGTCACTCAGGCCTCCTCTATGTTCTCTGTTTTTTTGGTAGTAAAGGGTAATCGCAAGTGTGAGTTGAACTGCCAGGCAACCGGCTACCGCTTCTACGTGCGACAAGCCGAGAAGGTCATCGACGGCACCCCCTGTGATCAGAACGGCACGGCCATCTGCGTGTCGGGACAGTGCAAGGTAAGTGCTGGTGGACTTGGGTCTGCCCATGGGGTGCTAACCTGTGACTGACGGTTTCAAGGACGGCCTGGAGCTGTGAGGTCTGGGGCAGTAGGCGGGGTGGGCCAGCTTGTCAGCGACCTGTTCTTGGAGAGGCGCCTGTGTCGCGCTAGCTTTTCAGTCATGGAGTGACTTCAGCTCACACTGATGCTTCGCAGGGACCGAGACACTCACCAGGCCTCCATGGTGAGGCTGGTGTTCCCTCCCCACCTGGGAAGTGGAGCTGTGAAGAGGGAGAGCCATCTCAGTGGGAAACTGATGGCTCCAATGTGTGGGCGGCATTTTAAGAGGACAGTGTATTTTCTCCTGTCTCCCCCACATGAGGCAAGCTTCTGAAGGGAAGGGGTTGAGGTTTTCTGCCTTTTATAGCAGAAGACGGACCTAAACCAGGAAGCTTCACACCTCCTCAGGCGTCTGAGGTCTACTCCATGTATTCCCCAGGCCGCATTCACTGGGATGTGCCTCGGTGACAGAAAGTACCATTTGGTTAAAAACACGCGTCTTAAACGTGAGCGCACAGGCTTCAGAACCAGTTGTGTCTCTGCCTGGCCTGCTACCCTCCTTTATCTGCAAATGTACCTCGGGAGCTGAGGCCTGATTCCAGCCTCATGAGACAGGCTGCAATGTTGTCTCTGTTGGTGCTTAGTAGCTGGCGGAGTTGACAGCGAAAGGCGGGCCCTTTGGCTGCAATGTTTTTGAATGTAAATTTCTGTGTGTTTAGTATCAGAGCTAATAAATATGATTTCTATATCTCTATATATAGTCTCCTCCCTCATCACCTTCAAAAACAAACAACAAACAAACAAACCCCTTTGTGTATGCTGATGTGTGGATGTAGGTGTGGGCCTCTGCCACAGTACATGTGTGGAGGTCAGAGTTCATGCCAGCCCTTTCCTTCTACCTTGTTTGAGACAGCGTCTCTTGTTCGAGCCCTGCTGGTCCAGCTTCCCAAGATTCTCTTGTCTCCACCTCCCATCTCACCAGAGGAGCTCTGGAGTTACAAACCTGCATTTCACATCCGGCTTTATGTGGATGCTGAGGACCCGAACTCAGGCCTTCCTGCTTGCAGAGAGGTGCTTCTCCTACTGAGCCCATCCCCAAAGGCTTATCCTTGCTTCTAGGAATTTGCTTTTCTATAGAATTTAGTCTCAGCACCCCATTGTTGCAAAAGTTCCTACAGTCACAGTTTCCAGAATTATATTAATGTTAATATGCAGAGAACATGTGTCTTTTAGTGCTGTTTTCATGAGATAATTTAAGATGAAATATAGAAGAATTTATCAAATGCAGTATTGGTCATCTTAGATGGAGAATGAAAAGAAGTTGAGAAAGATGGGGCCTCGCCTTGACATCTGATATGAATGAAATGTCTTTGGAGGAGCCAAACCATGAAAGGTTTAGGATGTGGCCCCAAAGAGGCAGGAAGACACCCCAGTGATGGTCTCTGATCTCCATGAGCACACACCCCACAAATGTACACCACACATATAACTGAGATACACCCTCTGGAGCCAGGCTGCCTGAGTCTTCTGAGTCTTGTCCCTTTTTTTTTTTTTTTTTTTGTCTTGATTTACTGTATAATTTTGACAATGTTCCTTAAGTTCTCTGTGCCCCTTTGTGTCCTGGACAGGATTAGAAGGAACTGTCTTAGGTAGGTTTTCTGTTACATGATAAAACCCTATGACCAAAGGCACCTTGGGGAGGAAAGTGTTTATTTCAGCTTACAACTTGTATCCTTCATCCAAGGAAACCAGGGCAGGAACTGCATCAGAGGCCATGGAGGAATGTCGCTTACTGGCTTGACCCCCCTGACCCAATGGCTTCCTCAGGACCACCTGTCCAGGAGCAGCCCTGCCCACACGGGCCTAGGCGCTCCCACGTCAATCGCTAGTTAAGAAAAGGCCCCCCACGCTTTCCTACGGGCCAATCTGGAGGTGGCATTTTCTCAGTTGAGCGTCTGTCTTCCTAAAGGACTCTGGCTGATGTCACGTTGACATAGAACCAGCCAGCGCAGGGCGCCTGTCCCCGTGAGGAGATGAGGCAGCGCGGCCTGGCTCTTAGTATGCTGAAAGTGTACATAGTCTCACACTCCACCCCACATCCACCCCTTTCTCCACAGGAGCCTTCTGTGTGTCTGTGTGTTGCTATTATACCTTTTCATGATGTGCGCGGAAAATTACAGGTTGGTGAGATTCATGTTGCCTTCCAAGGGCGTGCCTACACCGTACTGTGAAAGCTCAGAGTGCTGTCCTGAGGGTTCAGTAGTTCTGTAGAGCGGTGGGCAGTCTCCTCACCTGTGGAGTCCCACGTGGTGCAGACGCGGTTGGGTTCTGGACGAGGCAAGCTTTGAAGGGCCACGGTTAGCAAAAGGCCAGCCATGTACGCAGGGTCAGTGAGAGGACCTGGCGGGGGGGGGGGGGGGGGGCAGGGGGCGCTTTTTCCACGGGGGGGGGGGGGGGGGGGTGGCGGGGGGGGGGGGGGGGGGGTGACGCGGTGCGCTCTTTCCACTAGGGAAGCAGCGTGTTGGTGCTGCTGGCTTTGGGTTCAGTTGGCTAAGGGGAAAACTGACTCCCTCACTTGCTCTTTAACTTCCTCATGAGCACCGTGCACGCACACGCCCTGCCCACCTCCTCACGAGCATAAATAAGTGAATTCACACCTGCTGCGCAGCAGCGTGAAGGTGATAGAATTGTGAGCCAGACATTTTCTATACTGCATCTTTTTTTTTCTGAATAGGCACCATACATATATGTCAGGCAAGTATATGATATGCTTTAAGCATATTCCCCTGGACCCTCCCCCATTATTCACCCATTACCCATTTGTTCCCCAAATAGGATGACTTCTATTTGCTTGTGGTCCTACATAGCTGATACTACATATCTGTAACGTTTCAGATGCAGAAATGAGAGGACACCAGTCATATGAGTCTTTCCAAAACAGATTTAATTAGCATAACATGATTATCTCGAGTTGCACCCATTTTCCGGCAAGCAACCTAACCTCGTTCTCCTTTACACTGAAAAAGATCCTATTGTGTATCTAGAAAGTGTCTGTCTTAGCAGGAAGCTGCTGCTGCCAGGACCATTTTGCCATTCTTCCCATCATCCTGTGCGGTTACTTGAAATCTCTTTGCTGAAGTTGCTAGAGGCACTGACTGCTGACGATGTCCTTTGGGCGTCAGTTTAAATAACCAGAAGTGAATTTGCTCCCCATTTTTATAAGGTGGAGATTCCTTCAGATTCTGAGCCCGGGGTTCACGTGGTGACTCTGCTTCCCCGACACACAGCTGAGAAAGTTGGCACCTGCAGACAGCGCTCCCTGGGACACACTGGTCTGCCTCCCCCATCCTGTGGAGCCTCTCCTGGCTATGTGAAGTAAAAGGAAAGACTGCCCCACCCCCACCAAAATTAGTGGGGAATGGGTGTGCCCCTGGAACCCCAGAGCTTCAGAGAGTGAGGCAGGAGGCTGGTGGGCTCTGAGAGGCGACACAGCTTTCTGAAGTGTAAGCACGCCAAGTAGCGAGGGGAGCCATACACACTGTGCCCACCCGGCTCTAGGCAAAGTCTGCGTTTCCTCGGCTGCTAGAGTTCCTGAACGCTGGAAGGATTTAGCTGGGCTGGCTTCCTGGAAACTGAGGCATGAGGGAAAATCGGGGGTCCCTCTCCAGGCTCTCAGTGTCAGGTGATACTCCCATTGTGACAAGGATCAAAGGGTCTCCCATGTTGCTTTCCAGGCCAGTGACTATGTGTAGACAGGCCTTAAAGGTCAGGGCCAGGCCAACCCTGCCCTTCAAAGGTCAGAGAAGGAAAGGGTAGCCATGGAGAGCCCAGCCCCCTCCTTGTCTACACCAGTGGGACTATCTGGCCAGTCTTCAGAAAGATCTCTGAGATGGTCCTAGCCCTGTCCAGTCAGAGCTGCCATTGTGAAAATGCAGTCACATTTGGGAAAATGAACAGAGAGCCCAGCCATGGTATTTACCCTTAAGGAGTTCATCAAGCATGTCAGACATAATAACTTTACTTTCCTTAGCTTGACCTTGTAAATGATAAGGGCGACAGCAATTCCTGAGGGCAGGAGGTGGGCCTTGTGGGCCTTCTGAACTGCAGGCCTGGACGCCTGTGCTTTCTGAACAGCTGCCTCTGGGAATATTGGGACTTACTGTCAGTCGACAGAGTTTATACTTGTGACCTGGTTCCTTTGAATGCCAGCTCCCCAGATTCTCTTTGGAGTATTTGCTTTGCTGAGTGAACTAACTTCCTCTTCGAATGTCTATGTCTCTAGACTGAATTCAAGATGACAAGACTCAGGAGACCCCAACAGTGTGTGTGTGTGTGTGTGTGTGTGTGTGTGTGTAAGTCAAGCTTATATTAATCAAGAAATCAAGACAGGTTTAGTATGTTAGGTAGTTATCCAAGTGGCTAAAAACAAGAGAAAGAATACCTACTAGAAAAGAAATATGTAACTAGGGAAATTCATCAGGTTTATGTTCAGTTTCAGCCTTAAAAACGTTTAAGGCAGATTGCCACAGGCAACACCTCATTTGCTGGAGTCCTGGCTCCCTACACTTCTTCACACACGAGGGCTCGTCTGGAGGTCCTAGCACAGCCACAAGAAAGTTCTTCCTCTTCTGAGAGTATGTGTGGAGCTTCAGGAGGCGCACGGCACAGGCACGGTGAGGGAGGAAGGAGGCGCCTGCCTGGCTGCTGGAGCAGCAGCATCAACACTGAGGAGCTGACAGTGCGGCCAGGTCCACTCACACCTCAGAGTGAGGGCTGGAAAAGCATAACTCTCTGCAGTCTCATTCTTGGTTCTCTTCAGGAGAGGAGGTTTGCCACAAGCTTCTCAGTTGGCCTAGTCGTTCATACATGAACATGAGTAATTTATAAACTTTAAGCACTGAAGATAAAATATATATGAACATGTATAACACACACACACACACCAGACATAATAAGTCT